AGGCTATTTCCTTTTATTGGTTTATTAACGTTAGCGGTTAAACCGCATTTCTTTGCGTTAGGTTTTGACTGCTTTTCTTCTTCCTGCACGGTGTCACCAGATTCCTTTTTGCTGATTTTGGACTGTTTTTCTTCACTTACTAAAACAAAAGAGACAGAGCATTTAAAGATCATTTTTTCCCTCTGACTGAAATAAACATAGGCCAACAATAAAGTTATCTAGATCTCCTTCACTTGGACAATTTAAGAGATAATAGATTATTCAAATTTTCCAAATGATCAACTTCAATTACCAGGAGAAGGCTCTGCAGCTGCAGGCAGGCTTGCTTCCATCTCTGGCACTTTGTCTAGCCACACTCCCAGACATGTCAGCCTGGCGTTAGTGTTTACTTCACAGAGTAGAGATGGGGGAACTTTCTAAAAGAGGAAAGAAAAATTCATAATGTGAATTCGGAATAATTACTTTTTTCTATAACCAAGCCACCTTAATTTAAAATTTATTGTATCTTCTTAAGTATAAAATATGATGTTTAGAAGTAATCTATAATCTTGATTCATGCTTGGTTTGACTATGTTGTTCACAGAGCCAATTTCTGAGAAGTACCCAGAAATTAAAAATTCTAAAGAAAGGGACCATGTCTTGTTCATTTCTATTGTTTAACAAAGAACCCTGCACAAAGCAACACTCTACAAACCATATTCACAGAATGCTTATGAGAGAACAAAGAATAATAAACCAAGAGAGACTATAAAGAGACTCCAGAAAGGAATTTTTTTTTCTTTGAGACAGAGTCTCACTCTGTTGCTTGGGTTAGAGTGCAGTGACCTCATCGAAGCTCACTGCAACCTCAAACTCCTGGGCTCAAGCGATTCTCCTGCCTCAGCCTCCTGAGTAGCTCGGACTACAGGTGTGTGCCACCATGTCCGGCTAATTTTTTTATTTTCTGTAGAGACGGGGTCTCGCTCTTGCTCAGGCTGGTCTTGACCTCCTGGCCTCAAGCGATCCTCCCACCTTGGCCTCCCAGAGTGCTAGGATTACAGGCATGAGCCACTGTGCCTGGCCAATAAAAGGGAATTTAACTGTTCAATTAACAGTTCAATTTAACTGCTCAAAATTATTGTTAGTTCCATAATTGATGAGGAGTATCTACATTGTTTTTAGTAATGGCAGCATTTTTACCTAACATCTTTCAGAGAACCCCAATATACGAAAGAGAAGAAAGTAAAGCTTCTCTGATTAAAAGAGCAGGGAGAAAGTTATGGGATCCTCCCAGCTCAGTCTCAAAAATGCCAACTCCTAAAGCAGCTCTGTGGGAACCCTAACTTTAAAACCATTAATATCAATCATACCTGGAAGAGATTTAAAGATCTATGTTTTATGATCCATTAAAAAAAAATAAATTCTACCTCACTTAAAGTAATACTGATAGCCATACTGTGCTAAGACACTGACCTTATCCTGCTTAAGCTTCCACATTTTGATGAAACCATCACTCGATGCTGTAACAATAACATGATGCTCTGGAATTTCAAAACTGAAAATGTCTTTTACCCTAGGATAGAAATAGTAACACCATAAAAGACCTTTTCTTCAAAATAGCGCAATACTGTTATAAAAGTTATACGCAGAGTCTTTTGCTTTTGTGAAGCTTCAAGTTTTTCCAAAATGCTCAATAAATGTCATAAAATATAATTCTGCTTACATTCCTGTTAGTGAGTCATTTTCAGAGCCAAAATACAAGATAAAATTGACTGTCGATCATATCTCAAGGAAAAGCTGAATAGATAATAGTAACTATAAATAATCAGGTTTATCACAACAGAAATAAAGATGTAGGAAACAGCCCTTCACCTTAAAGAAACTCCAAGTTCTGTAAGGAGAGAAAAGCAAGACAACAGAAACAATGTCACACACCCTTTCCCTCACCTCCAGTGCCACCACCCCTAGTCTAATCTGCTTTCATTTTTCTTTTGGATCATGGAAACAGTCTAATTGGCCTTTCTGCTTCCATTTTTGTCCCCTAACAATTTTTAAAAATGTAAATCAGATCGCGTTACTTCTAGGCTTAAAACTCTACAAAACTGGGATCTGCTTTATAATAACATAGGAGAGGAGGAAGTGGCTGGGGATATAGATGAAGCAAGACTGGCCATCAAGTGACAGGTGCTGAAGCTGGTGATGGGTCTGTAAGGGCTGGGTCCTTAAACTGGTCTGCCTGCG